GAAAGAAAGAAAGAAAGAAAGAAAGAAAGAAAGAAAGAAAGAAAGAAGGGGAGAGAGGGACAAGAGAGAATAATGGAGCAAAGGGAAAAGAAAACAACAGTGCATGTTGTCCCACTCACAGAATGCACAGAGAAAGGGGGTGTGGTACTTGGAGAGAGAAGAGAGAGACAGCATAAACAAATGTAAAAACAAGCAGAAGAGAGAGAAAGAGAAGGGATGGTAATAAGAGTGAAAATGATGCCAAGAGCAAACCATTCTTTTTATTCTTTTCCCCCCGCCTCCCGAGACAGGGTTTCTCTGTGTAGCCTTGGCTGTCTTGGATTCCTTTTGCAGTCAGGCTGGCCTCGAACTCATAGAGAGCCGCCTGCCTCTGCCTCCCCAAGGGCTGGGATTACAGGTGTGCACCACCACGCCCAGCTCTAAAATCCATTAGTTCCTACACTGAAAAATTTATAAAGAAGTAATTACCATTTCAAACAAAAAAGAAGAAATTTTTTGGCGTTTTATTTACATCAAAACAACATGGTTCTTTCAAAAACGCTGAACAGTGTGAGATAAAGCTTGACTGGCTGAAGTACCCAGCAGCACCTACCTCGGGGAAAGGTCTCCGAAAGTGGTCCCATTTCAGAAGCTTCAGATAGGCATAATTCTGGACAGAAACAGAGGTCAGCACTGGAGCATCCCCAGAGCCAGCAGCCCCTCCCCCAGCTGGCAGGGCATGTTTGCACTTCTGAGTCAAAAGGTCATTTGAGGCCTCCTCCAGCCACTGGGTGACAAAGTCCAGGGAATCTGTGGAAAACAGGGCTGCACTCATTACCCTGACACTTGCAGAGATACTTCTTGGAATTACTTTCTGTAAGAAGGTAAAGAGCATTCTGACAGTGAATTTCAGAATAGAAAATGAACTTTGGGATCCACAGAACTAAATCCAAATCACTGTATTGCTCACAGATAGCTTCATGACCTCAGACAAGTCTACTCCTGTTACAAAGGAATGCACCTGCCTCACAGGCCGACAGAGGAAGTGCCTGGCCAGGCCTTGACCCCTTCCTTCCCACTTTCTTCTCTAGCAGTGACCACTGCATTTGAGGAGGCTGGACGCCAGGCAACATCATTTCTGAGGGACAGTAGTGCTTCTGGCCCACAAACAGGACGGGCACCAGCTGGAATCCCTTGCATCGCTCAGCATTTCCACTGAGGGCTTACATAGACCGGTGTGTAACTCACTGTAGTGGGAGCACTGTCAGTGGCCTCAGCTGGCTTTCAGTGGCCAATATGCTCCCTCTGCTTTCCTGAGTAATGCAACAGGTACCCTATTTGTCCTACACATCTTGGCAGAGTTGCAGCCCTGGTGGAGGCCTCCTTTAAACCAAGCAGGCACTGGGTTACCGCTGCCGTCAGCTCCTCCCTGGTGTTCTCTGCACAGAGTTCTCCATTTGGTCCTGACTGCTGAACCACATGGCTTCAGCCTGCCTTTAACCTTCTGGAGACAGCCTTTCTCTGTGGCATCCAGGCTTTGGAGACCTTGAGATGCTAGGCAAGGACTAGACTCTGATGAGCAGGCTCTAGAGAGCTCCTGTGCAGCAAGGAGCCTTTCACTGCAGCTGAGCTTCTGGTGGCCGACTCTACTACGCTCTTTGGCATCTGAGACTGAGTCCACAGGTGTCTCCTGAGGGGCACCATGGCACTGGAGAGACTGAATGGTGTGCCAGCCTTCTCCCACTACTTCTGCTCTGCTCTCTTTCCACTCTTCCTGGCCCCAAGCATCCACTTGAGACTGCAGAAATTAACTTTTGGAGCCACTGAATTACCCAACCTGGGCAGGCAACAAGAGCTACTCTGAGACTGCCATTTTCACCCCATCAGCAAAGCTGGGGCTACATGAAACTCACCACACAGTGCATCTGTAAACACTGTAGAAACATAACCAACCTAGATTCTTCTGCTTACCTGCAATTTTATACCCGGCTCTTGGGACACAAAGGCAAGACTGTCAGTTTAAGGCCAGCCTGGATTTCACAATTTCAGAGCCCAGGCTCAAAAACAAAACCAAAGCTAGGTGTGGCAGTGCGTGCCGTTAGTCCTGGAACTAGAAAGGCAGTGTTGCAGGCTAGCCAGGGCTACATATATTTTGAGAGCCTGTCTCAGAAAAAAAAAAAATAATAATAATAATAATAACAGACCAAAAAAAAACAAACAAACAAACAAAAAAAAAAACCCAACCAACCAACAATAGATGTAACAAAGAATAAAAGCTGATTTTTCCTATTTGTGAAAACAGATTTATGCATAGAGGAAACAACAGTGATGTTCCCTGTTGTTCCCATAAGCAGGAGAAAAACTAATTAAAAGAGATTTGTCATGAAGGACAAAGATCATGACCCAGAATACAATCTAGCTGAAACTGATATTTTCCTTGAGAAAAAAAAAAAAAATCAAAATTCAATCTAGTAATCTTCATTCTTTTCATTTTTACTCTCACACCCCATCCACATAGCTCATGCTTGTCAGTTGAGTTAATTTATTAGTATTTTGGTTTTGATGTTTAACAGCACCCCATCCTTTTCCTTTTTCCAATTACACTACCCTCATACAGTCTTGTCTGGGGCTAGAAACGGTTGCTGGCTTTTATGTAACGTGTTACAGTAATTAAGATGCAACCCAAAAGCCAACAATGAAAAGGCATCACAGAGCTTACGTACCCGGCTGCTTCTCCAACACTTCCTGAAACTTCTTCCTCTCATATTCAACTGACTGCTGCATGAGACGTGGCCTAATGCTGGTGATAGCGAAGTTGGCCATGTCTACTTTCATTAGGTCCAACACAGAAAATATTGCCCTGAAAAAAAAAGGAAACAATTAGCAAGCATGGTTTAAAGGAAGAGAGATCCGTGTTTCATCTTAGAAAGGGAAAAAACTCTGAAAAATGAGAAAAATGGATTAAGAAAATGAATTTGAAGCTGGAGGACGCAGTGGTGCATGCCTGTAATCCCAGCACTCTGGAAAGCAGAGGCAGGTGGGATCTCTGTCTCTGGGAGTTTGAGGCCAGCCTAGTCTACAGAGAAAGAAGGAGAGAAAGAGAATTTGGGGGCTGGAGAGATGGGTTAAGAGCACTTCCTGTTCTTCTGAGGACCTGTGCTGGCTGCTTTTATGTCAACTTGACATAAGCTAGAGTCATCAGAGAGGAAGGAGTCTCAGTTGAGAAAAGGCCTCCATGAGATTGAGCTGTAGGCAAGCCTGTAGGACATTTTCCTAGTGATTGACGGGGAGGGCCGAGCCCATTGTGGGTAGTGTCATCTTTGGGCTGATGATCTTGGGTACTACAAGAAAGCAGGCTTTAAGGAATTAAAAAAAAAAAAAATAAAGCAGGCTAAGCACTCCAGTAAGCAGCACTCTTACACGAGCTCTGCATGAGCTCCTGTCTCCAGGATCCTGCCCTGCTGGAGTTTCTGTCCTCGTTGCCTTTGATGATGAACCGTTATACACAACTGTAGTGAAGTAAAACCTTTCCTCCCCAAGTTGCTTCTGGTCACAGTGCTTCATCAAAGCAAACAGTAACCCTAATACAAACTGGTGCCAGGATCATGCAGTATCGTTGTGACAAACCTGACCATGTCGTTTTGGGACAGTTGTGGGAGGACTTTGGAACTTTGGGCTAGAAAAGTCATTGAGTGTTCAAAGCTCAATGAGCTTTTCTGTGGGAGCCGAAAGATGTTGAGAGCAGTACAGCCGATAGAGGCCTGGCTTGTGCTATTCCAGAGGGAAGTGCAAGACTCACTTAAAGACTCTATCAAGGCTGGTTGCTATTTGGAGTTGACAATCTGTGTTCTGGCTAGCTGGGGTTGGAGACTGAATCAACTGTGATTGACAAGACACCAGAACCACTCAAGTGAAACCTTCGAATTACTGCAACAATTGATGCAGTGCAGCTGGAGCTAAGGAATCTGTAGTGATTAAGAAGATGAGCATCGCTAAGGTGAAATCTTCTGGGAAGTGTTTCCTCAAAGCCAGTACTCAAGCTGTGTTCAGAGGTGACCAAGGTTGTCCCTCACACTGACAGCTGAACTTGGTAACATGTAAGAGTCACCCAGCTTGTACTGGTTTTGAAGGCATAAAGGGGTCTTGGAGAGCAACTGAGGCTTGGCACTGTGAGAGACCATTGGTGAAGGTGGAGCCAAAATCGCAGTGAAGGCCCAGAACTCAAGGGGTCATGGAGAAGTTAGGCTTTGCACCATGAAGAGAGCCCATGGCAGGCTGTTAGTGAAAGCGCAGCCCAGTTGCAGCAGAAGCCCCCAGCATTTTCAGACACCATGGAACAATCAGGAACAGCAGCAGTCATGGTGAAGTGGAGCTAGCCGGAACCTAGCCGATAAGTTGGTTTATACTGCATAGGGCAGAAACTGAGAAATGACCCAGGCTCTTTGCAGGAGCCCAAAACAGCATCAGTGAGTCCCAGATACTGGAAACTGAGTGATTTACACAGTTGGAGTTTGGTTTTGCTTTGATCTGTTTGTGACTGTGCCCTGGTTCTTCCCCCTTTTTTAAAGTTCTATAAAAGCCCACAGTTGAGAGACAGTTTTTGAAAGAGATTTTGGGTTTTTAGAGACTGGGTATTTTAAAGAGACTGAACTTTTTTTTTTCCTTTTGGTTTTTTGAGACAGGGTTTCTTGCTGTAGGCCTTGGCTATCCTAGACTCACTCTGCAGACCTTACAGAAATCTGCCTGCCTCTGCCTCCCCAAGTGCTGGGATTACAGGTGTGTGTCATGCCTGGCTTGAGACGGAACTTTTAACATGTTTGAATTTATAAAAACCATGGAACTTTTATTTTTATTACTTTTATTTGTCTATTTATTTGGGGGAGTTTTTTCAAGACAGGGTCTCTCTGTGGAGCCCTGGCTGTCCTGGACTCACTCTGTAGACCAGGCTGGCCTCAAACTCAGATCTGCCTGCTTCTGCCTCCTGAGTGCTAGGATTAGAGGTGTGTGCCACCACCACCTGGCTGCCCATGGGACAGTTATTTATGTTTTATATAGTGGTAGTAATATTAACATGCCATCTTGGGGATAAATGAAAGGTTCTAATTGAAAAGTGATAAGTCTGTGTGTCAAGCTGGCAAGGGATCGATCAGTTGCGCTGCCTAGTTTTATGTCAACTTAACACTAGCTAGAAACATCAAAGAGAAGGGACCTTAGTTCAACTCCCAACACCTATGTTGGGTAGCTCTCTGGCCTCCCCATCTGCACTCACATACATATACCCACAGACATAAAATTAGAAATAAAATAAAAATCTTTTCTAAAAAGTAAAACAAATTTGGTACACATTTAACTAAAGTCTTGAAAGACTACAAAATTTTACAGTGCTTTTAACCCCCTAACCTCACCCTCTGTTCTTCACACTTGACACTGCCTTTGCAGCCCAGAACTTGTTCCTTGGTTCTAGGTCTGCCCTCCTGACAGCCCGAGGAAGGATAGAAATCTTTCCCTGAGTAGAAGCCCCTTTATCATTGTGCTTACATAGGTTAATTCATTTTCTAAGCTAAGAGTGAGAATTAGCTAGGTGAGGTAGCACGTCTTTAGTCCCAGCACTCTGAAGGCAGATGCAGGAGGGTCTCTGCAAGTTTGAGGTCAGCGTGATCTACAAATGGAGTTCCAGAACAGCCAGGACTACAAGGAGAGATACTGTTTCAAACAAACAAACAAACAAACAAACAAAATTAACTTTCTTCTTTCTTCCTCTCTCCTACCCCATTTTCCGTGTTTTAAGAGTTATTTTATGCTGTAGTTCAGTGGCATAATTGCTAGTTCACACTCTGTACCCAAAGGACAAACGCCTGACCTGCTACTGCAAATGCCTTCCATCCTGTCGGCCTACACCGTGGCTATGGGCTGCTAAGGGCCCACTTGCCAGAGGCAGTTAAGAACCCAAGGCCCAGCTGTAGATGTGGCCCTGCACAAAAGCAGGAAAAGGATCAGATGTGCTTCGGGGTCCATGGCTCCTAGAACCAGCCTTCCCAGAGGCTCATGTACACGCAGAGATGCATTTGGAACCCTTCCCCTGGTGTTCCGTCCAGCTCACAATCCACAGCAGCCTGCTTGGCCCGAGAGGCATCATCTCTACTGCAAACACTCCCAGCAGTTCCCTAAAACTACCCCCCCGGGAAGCAGAGGCCATCAGAAACTGCCCATGGGCAGGTACT